GCTTGTTGAAACTGAGGAGGGCATGTGGTGTATGCTGTAGAAGGTCAAGGACTGTAGTCTTCAATATGGATTGAAGCTCAACATCAAGAAGACAGAGATTCTCACCACTGAGCCAATTGGCAGCATCATGATAGATAGAGAAGAAATTGAGATTGTTAATAACTTCAGCTTGCTTGGTGCCACAGTCAACACTCTGGCACCAGCAGTCAGGAATTCAAAAGATGAATTGCATTGGGCAAGTCTGCTGTCAGGGGCCTCTCTAGAGTACTGAAGAGCAACAATGGCAGTGTGGAGACTAAAGTGCGCCTGATCCAGGCCATGGTCTTTGCAATTATTTGCTATGCATCTGAGAGCTGACAGGAACTAAGGATGATAGAAGAAGGATTGATGCCCTTGAGCTGCAGTGCTGGAGAAGAATGTTGGACTGCCAGGGGAAAAACAGGTCTGTCCTAGAGAGGGTGAAACAAGGCTACTCCCTGGAGGCAAGGATTTTAAAGTTCCTTCTCACATGCTTTGAACGCATGGCCAAGAGAGACCAATTCTTGGAGAAGGACATCATGCTTCAAAGGGTAGAGGAACAGCACAGAAGAGGAAGACCCAAGATGAGATGAATTGACTCAGTGACTGGAGAAATGAGATCAGGTCTGTCAGAGATGATGAAATTGGCTCAGGAAAGGGCAGAGTTCAGAGCTATTGTACATAGGGTCACTATGAGTCACAGGCGACTTGATGGCACATAACAACAACATGAGTCATAGTTTACTTGATGGCACCTAACAGCAACAACAGTGGGTTCAAAGAATAACATCTTTGAGGCTGTTAAATGGAAAAAAGGTAGAATTTCATTGTGAGTAATGCAGTTTGTGAATGAATCATACACTGAGCAGAGAGGAGTCTTATCAAATTTTACACTGTGTTGGAATCACATAGCCTTATTTATACAGTAAAACCAGGAATTTAGATCATAGGATTGGTGCTTGGTGAGAGAAGATAGTCGAGGACAGGATATTTGGAAGCAGACTCTTGCTCTGATTGGTTTGCTGATTAAATATAGATTAAAGCCATTGGATGCAAAGCATCTTGCAAATAGGTCACAAGGGGGCATAAGGTGATCACAAGCTGCATGTTGACTTGATGGATTTCCTGAGAAGAGATGGGAGAATATTTTATACAGTGATTTTTACTTTACTTCCTTCATAGTTTCACATGTTGTGTTTTGACATTGGCAACTTAGTTACAGGAAGTTCTGGTGGCCTAGTGGTAAGGAGTTCTGCCAACCCAAAGGTTTGAATCCACCAGCCATTCTGCAGGGGTAAGATGGGCACGCTCCTCCTGTGTGATTTACAGCCTCTGAAAACCTGCCAGAGACTCGGCTGTGAGTCAGTTCTGACTCCAGGGCACAGAACACCAACAGTTCTAATGGCCTAGTTGTACTAACCCAAAGTCCATCCCTCTCTAGTGGTTCGAATCCACCAACAGTTCCTCAAGAGAAAGAAGAGCAATCCTTTTTTCTGTGTGATTTACAGCTTCAGAAACCCAATGGAGGGTGAACTATGAGTTGTTTTGACTCAACAGCAATGAGTGTGTGAACTCAACTTTATCTTATAAAGGGAAGTATGTGTTTGAATATTATAAACAAAATAAAAATAGAAATATTGCTAAAAATAGAAATATTTGCAAGACCAGTGAGCTTTAATTTTAAAACCTCCAGATCTCTGGTGATTTAGTGTGTTACATGTTGCATTGCTGTTGAAAAGGTCAGCAGTTCAAATCCACTGGCTACTGTACAGGAGAAAGAGGAATAATCTCCTCTCATAAAGATTTAATCTTTCAGAAATCTGATTGAGAATAGCTCTGAGTTGAAATCAGCTGGGTGGGTTTTTTTTAATTGTGATTTTGATGAAAGTTTACAGAAAAGTTGGATTTTCATTCATTCATTGTTGCACATTTTCCTTTCTTCCCCCTTCCCCCAGTTTACTTTCTTTTTAAAAAATATTCATTCATTGTTGTGCTGAAATCAGTTTAATAGCTGTAGGGTTTGAGATTTGAAGTCTTAGAAACAGGACATGTTCATTAATCTTCCAATGAATAAGTTTTAAGTGTTTTTTTTTTAATTTTTTAAAATTTTTATTTTTTTTTTTTTTTTAAGTTTTAAGTGTTTTAACAGGCTTGATCACCTAAGTACAATTATGTGAAAGTTGACAAGCTGTTTCTAAAGGTTAGTTGCAGTTTAGGAGGAAATAAACCCTCAGGGAGGTGGATTGGTGCCTTGACTGCAGTGATGGACTTGGGCAGGCAGAGAATGTGAGGATAGCACGGGCTCAAGCAGCTTTTGTACATGGGGTTTCTCTGAATCACAGCTGACTTGATGACAACAAGGTTAACTGCAGGAGCCATGGTGGGACTGTGCCTAAGGCATTTTTCTGCTAACCAGTTGATCAGTGGTTCAAATCTACCAGGTGCTTCAGGAAAAGATGAGGCTTTCATATAGATTTCCAGCACTGGAAACCTTATGAGCACCTTCAGAGCTAAGATGTGCCTCCCGCAAGACATGATATATTCAGTCATTTCATATGTTCTACCCTATGGGCAATCATGCAGGTTTACTGGGAGTCAGAATCAACTCAATGCAGTGAGCTTGGGTAAAGTTAACTAATTCAAAGGGGAAAAGGCAAGATAAGTAATTCGAAGTCTTAAAAGACATAATGAAAGCAATTAAGGTTCGCCGGATCCAGGCCATGGCCTTCATAATTACTTGCTGTGCATCAGAGAGCTGGGCAATGACTACGGATGACAGAAGTGATGCCTTTGAGTTGTGGTGCTGGAAAAGAGTCTTGAACATACCCTAGACTGCCAAGAAAACAAATAGTCTCATCTTGGAGAGGATGAAACCAAGTTTCTCCTTGGAGGCTAGGATTTTTGAAGCTCCATCTCACATACTTTGGGCACGTGGCCAGGAGGGAACAGTCCTTGGAGAAGGACATTATGCTTGGAAGAGTGGAAGGACAGTACAGGGGAGGAAGCCCCCAGATGAGATGGATTGGTACAGTAACTGGGGCAATGGGGATAGGTGTGTTGGAGTCAGTGAGGCTAGTTCAGGATAGGGCAGGCTTCAGAGCTGGCGTGCATTGGGTTGGTGTGAGTCACCAGTGACTCAGCAGCACATTACAACAACAACAAAAGACACAAGTTGGAGTCAAGCTTAAATTTGAGATAGCCTTCTTTAGAAGTTCCAGGGACCCTCATTTTTAAAATCTCACAACATAATGTATTTCACATTATTTGCCACTTCCACAACTTAAAGGCATCCTTGTCCAGATTTCACATGCACATGAGATGATTGAAAATACCATGTCTTGGGGAGGCACATCTTAGCTCTGAAGGTGACATGTTTCCTTTGAAGGAACTTTAGTGGCATAATGCATAAATGTCTATGAGAGATCAACAGTTCCAGTCCACCAACTGTGTGCCGTGGGAGAAAGATGGACAGACTCCTTCTGTAATGATTTACAGCCTTGGAAACCTGACAGAGGGTCTTTATAAGTCAGGACTCACTCAATGGCAATGTGTGGCCAGATTTTAAGTTTCAAATTGCAATGTTCTCAGCTCCAGATACTTGTATTTGCCACATGTGAGAGACTGTTCTTTGTAGTTGAAAACCTGAGAGAGAGATAGGTTATCAGTCCTTGAAGAAGGACATTATGCTTGGAAGGGTGGAAGGTCAGCAAAAGAGAAGAAGACCCTGGATGAGATGGATTGTTTCAGTAACTGGTAATGTGGCTAGATGTGTCAGAGACAGTGAGATTAGCTTAAGATACAGTAGGATTCAGAGCTATTGTCGATGTCACATAAAAACAACAACACTTGTCATCAAACAAAGATAATAACTAGTTGAGCAAAGAATTGAAAGAATTGAAAATTCTGGTTTGTAGTTATCAAGGCCATTCCCTGTTGTTGCACAGATGACCTTCTTAACTCACTTTCTTTCCACTGGTGGAGGGGGAGGTGAGCAGAGGAGAGGAAGGGTGAGAATGTGGGTGGTCATTGATCTCAGATCCTTTCTAGAGAGCTGGGCCCAGAGTTCTGAAGTCAAAGCCTAGTCATTTTCTGGGTGAAGGGTCCCCTTTGATCTTCCAGGGGAGCTCATTTCCAGAGCTTCCTCTATTGACCTGTTAGGAATGTTCTCATTCCTAAAAAGGGATGGGAGCTCCTATGATGTTTGCTTGGATCTAGTTGGGGAACAAAGGGATCATTCGGATGGCTCAGGGTCAGGGAACATTTCATGCTCTTATTCACAAGGTCTCCATGAATTGGAGCAGACACAATGGCCACTAACAACAGTTTAGCCAAACAGCTGCTAAAATGAATTTGCACCCATTGTAATGAATGACATCCAGTTCAGTCAAAATGATCATACAGTTCTAATGAGAATAGAATAAAAAGGAGTGATTTCCCCCCCCCCCCATTTTTCTTGTCATTTTCCGTTCTTGGAGAAACACATCTGTGTTTTCTTCTGTCGCCTTCATGGGGCAGGTATCTGATTCAGACTTGGAGAAGATAAGAATGGACTCCAGGTTTTTCCTATAGAAGGTCTCCCTCACTTACTCAGAGCCTCTGTGGGCTGCTGTGTGTTGGCTCTGCCAAGCACGGGCAATGTACTCCCATCTTATTTGGTGTAGATCTGGGACTGACCCATGCCCTGGGCTCACTGATCCGACGTTTTATCTTGTACTTCTTGCCCATCCATGCATTTTCATGTTTTCTCAGTCCTCTAGGGCATGTTATTTATGATTCTTGTGGAACCCTTGGCCTTTGAACACTGCCTGGGGCATCCAATGAGTTCACCTTTGCATACACCACTAAGAAAAGGTATTCAAAGGACCGTGTACGGAGTTTCCGACGACGTTGAGAAGCACTTCAAGAGAGCTTATCTGTGCATCTTCTTGGCTTGGGTGGGGCCTCGGGGAATTTTAGTGACATCTCTGTTTCTCTTCTTTCAGTATTCAAGGAGAAGCCAAAATATCCCCCCAGCAGAGCCCAGTCCCTGAGCTATGCCTTGCAATCCACCGATGCTTCCTACTTAAGTTCCATCATCCGGCTCTTCAAAAACCTCAACTTTGTGCTGCTTGTCATCACCTACGGTAAGGAGCAGATGTACCCAGGGCTGCGTAATGTCAAGTGAAGATTTCCTGAGAGATGCCACAGGCCTGATTTTGTCTTTTCACTTGCTCTACCCAAATTAAAAAATTCATATAGAGCTGTTATCTGGGGTTGACCAGAAAAACCAGCTCTTGGCCTTAGGGCTTTTGCATGTGCTGTGAATTCCACCTAGAACATCTTTACTTTCCCTGGTGGCCCAGCTGCAATCTTTATACTCATTTTTCAAGTCCCATCTCAGTATTACCTATGTAATGTTGAACTAGATGCTCTTTCTTCTCTTTTGTACTATTCTTTGTTGTTATTAGGTGTTGTCAAGTTGAATATGACTCATAGCAACCCTATGAAGAACAGATCTGAACTCTGTCCTATCCTGTGCCATCCTCACCCTTCCTGACAGGTTAGAACCCATTGCAGCAGTCACGATGTCAGCCCACTAGGTCAAAAGTGTTCCTCTCCTTCATCGACCTTTCCAAGCATCATGTTCTTCTCCAAAAAGTCACTCCTAGCAACATGCCCAAAGTATGTGAAGTGAAACCTTATCATTTTTGCATCCAAAGAGCACTCTCACTGCACCCTCTCCTAGATATATTTGTTTGGTTTTTTGGCCCTCTGTGGGATGTTCAGTGCTCTTCTCCAACATCATAGTTCAAAGTTATCAATTCTTATTCTTTCATACTTATTCATTGTCCAGCTCTCAGATGCACACAAGTTATTGGAAAGACCATGGCCTAAATCATACACATCTTAGTCCTTGAAATGATATAATTACTCCTCAATAATTTGGAGAGGTCCCTAACTGCAAACTTTCCCAGTGAAATACATCACCTTATTTCTTCAGTGCTGATACTAAGGGTGTTAATTGTGGATCCAAATAAAGATAAAGTTGTTGACAGTTTTAATCTCTTCTCCATCCATCATGATGTTGCCTATCGATCCAGTGATAAGAATCTTTGTTTTTTTTACATTGAGACACAATCCATACTGAAGGCTGCTTTCCTTGATCCTCTGCCAACAAGTGCTTCAAGCCCTCCTCACTTTCAGCAAGCAAGGTTGTGTCATCTGTATAACACAGGCTATTGATGAGTTTCCCTCTAATCCTGGTGCCACATTCCTCTTCATAGAATCCAGAATAATTTGCTCAGCATACAGATTGAATAGGTATGGAGAGAGAATGCAACCCTGATGTACTCTCTTCTTTTAAACCATAGAGTGTTTCCTTGCTGTACTCACATACCAGCCTTCTGGTCCAGGTGTAGGTTCTGCATGAGCAAAATCAAGTGCTCTGGGTCTCCCATTCTTCTCAGTGTCAGCCACAGCTGATCCACACTGTCCAAAGTCTTTGTATAGTCAATAAAGCACAAATAGACATTCTTCTGTTATTCTCTACTTTCAGCCATAATCCATCTGACATCAGCAATGACATCCCTGGTGCCAAGGCCTCTTTTAAATCCTGCTTGAACTTCTGGCAGTTCCCTATCTATGTTCTGTTCTAGCCATTTTTAAATTATCTTCTGCTGTATTTTCCTTGCATGATAGTAATGATATTTTTCGATAATTGCCACATTCTGTTGGATCACCTTTCTTGGGAATGGAAAAAAATATGTACCTTTTCCAATCCATTGACCAGATGGTTGTCCTCCAAATTCCCTGGCCTAGATTGGTGAGTGCCTCCAAGGCTGCATTTGTTAACTGAAACAAGTTAATGGGTTTCCCATCAATTCCTGGGGCCTTATTTTTCCCAATGCCTTCAGTTCAGTTTCCATTTCCTCCTTCATTACTATTAGCTCCTGATCATATGGTACTTCCTGAAATTTTTTAGCGTTAATTAGTTCCTTTTTGGTACAGTGACTTTGTGCATTCCCTCATGCTTTCTGGGTCATTCATTATATTGCCCATAGCATCTTTCATTTTGTGACTCAAGGTTTAAGTTTGCTTTTCAGTTCTCTCACCTTGAGAAATACAGAGTGAGTTCCTCTCTTTTTATCTCCAGTTTCAGATTGCCGCATATTCCATTATAATACTTTGTTTTGTCTTCTTGAGCTGCCCTTTGAAATACTCTGTTCAGCTCTTTTACTTTGGCATGTTCTCCCTTTGTCTTGGCTGCTTGATGCTCTGGTGCGGTTTTTAGAGTCTCTTCTGACATCCATTTCGGTTTTTTCCTTCTTTGTTTTTATAATGACCTTTTGCTTTCTTTTTTTCGAGGGGGATAATTTTTTATTCAGATTTTAACAAAAGTTTAGAGAACTTGGATTTACAATTATTCATTGCTGCGCATTTTCCTCTTTACCCTAAACTCTAGTTCTCGTTTCTCTTTTTTAAAAAAAAATTCTTTTGACTTTTTCTTTCTTCATGGTTGTTGTTCATTGGTGTTCAATGCCTCAGACTTAAGATGATCTTCAAACTCAGATGGAATGGATTCAGGATCTTTCCTTGGTTCCTGTGGACTTATTTTCATTTTCTTCAGCTTCAATTTGAACATGCATATCAGTAATTGATGAACATCCCACAGTAATTGATGATCAGTAATTGATGATCATGCAGATCAGTAATTGATGACAAGTCTGCCTCTCACCTTTATATCAGCTTTGGCTGCTGATACAGAACTTCTCCAACAATATCTTTCACAGATGTAGTCAATCTGATTCTTAGGCAGTCCATAAGGTGAGTTCCATATGTAAAGTCATTGTTTGTATCTTTAAAAAAAAAGGTATTTGCAATAAAGAAATAATTTTAAATACAAAATTTGACCATTCTATTTCCAGCCTCATTTCTATCACCAAGTCTGCATTTTCCAACTATTATTGCTTCTTCACTGTTTCCCACTTTTAAGTTCCATTCACCAGTTATCAGCAATGCATTTTGATTGCACGTTTGGTCAGTTTTGGACTGCAAGATTTGGTAAAAATTCTCGATTTCTGCCTCTTTGGCTTTAGATGTAGAAGCGTATATTTGAATAATAGTCGTGCTAATGGTTCTTCTTTATAAGTGTATGAATAATATCCTATCACATTGTATTTCATTATAGAACTTGAAATTGCCTTTTTTCTATGTATACCATATGATTATCTGAGCCAGAATGGCCAAAGCTGGTCCATCTCATCTCACTAATGCCTAGTATGTTGATGTTTATGTGTTCCATTTCATTTTTTAAAATTTTCAGTTTTCCAGTATTCAAGCTGCATACATCCCATGTTCCAATTATTAAATGATGTTTGTAATTCGTTTTCTTCAACTGACTTCCAATTTGGGCTCTACTTCTCTTGTTGTACCTAGGTGCTGTTGAGTCAAATACGACTCATAGCAACCCTATAAATAAAAGAACTGAATCCTGTTCTATCCTATGCCATCATCACACTTCCCAACACACAAGAGCCCATTGCTGCAGTTACCATGTCAAACCTCCTGGTTAAGAATCTTCATCTCCTTTGCTGACTCTCCACCCTTCCCAGCACCATGTCCTTCTCCAAATAATAGTCCCTTCTAGCAACATACTCAAAGTATATGAGATGAAGCCTCGTCATTCTTGCTTCCAAAGAGCACTTTGGCTGTACGCTTTCCAAGACATATCTATTTGTTCTCTTGACCATCCATGAGATATTCCATTGTCTTCTCCAACACCACAGCTCAAAGGCATCAATTCTTTTCTGTCATTTTTATTCGTTGTCCAGCTCTCAGATGCATAGCAAGTAATCAGAAAAACCATGATTTGAATCAGATGTACCTTAGTCCTCAAACTAAGAGAGGTCCCTAACTGCAAACTTTCCCAGAGCAATGCATGTCCTTATTTCCTGACTGGTCATACCATAGATATTAATTGTGGATCCAAGCAAGATGAAGTTGTTGACTGTTTCAATCTCCTCTCCATCTATCATGACACTGCTTTTCGGTCCAGTGGTAAGTTTTGTTTTCCTGACTGAGATGCAATCCATACTGAAGGCTGCATTCCTTGATCTTCTGCAACAAGTGCTTCAAGTCCTCCTCACTTGCAGCAAGTAATATTGTGTCACTTGCATAACACAGGTTATTGAGGAGTCTCACTCCAATTCTGATGCTACACTCCTCATCATAGGGTCCAACTTCTCGGATAACTTGCTCTGCATGCAAACTGAATAGGTATTGAGACAGATTAGAACCCTGACACACTCCCTTCCCAATTCCAAACTATCTGGT